TGAGGTAGAAGAAAAGTTATGATTTTTTCCTTGAAACTAAAGCCCTGTAGTCTTACTTATTCAAGATTTGTAAATACTCCATGACATTAGAAGATGAGAACATAAGTAGGGAATTCTGTAACAGGTTCTTAGTAGTTTGTTTTAATATAGTTAAACCACTTTAGCCTTTTTACACTTGTTTCTGTACCTTTGAAGTTGCCACTTACACACTAGCTTCTTGGACATTACAATTGATCATGGCATATAAGCCAGCCGGTTTATGAGCCACATTTAAAATTTGTACAGAAGGGAATTCTCTGACAGTCCAGTGGTTAGGACTCCGAGCTTTCACTGCCAAGGGCGAGGGTTTGATCCCTGGCCAGGAAATTAAGATCCCGCAAAGCCCTGTGGCACAGCCAAACTAAATAAATAAATAAAATTTGTACAGAAGATTTGTAGATTTTACAGGTAATTTCACAGTGTGACATGAGTTTAAATTTGATTAACTGTCAATTCCTTAATAATTTGTCTAACACATTGCCAAAATTATTCCAAACTTTAGAGAATATAAAGACATACAGGTTGGAATATGTGTGAGCCTTTGTAGGTACAAAGACCACTTTAATCTTACTTAGAATGCAGATACTGGTATGACTTTAAAAAGGGGGAAATTATCATTTAAAAATAGCTAATGTTATGAGCAATCGGTATTTTCTTTTTAAGAAATTGCTCTAATACCAGTTATGGATTAAAAAGAGAGTGAAAGTATTTATTTTACAAGCCTAAGGATGAATCTGTAAAAGAAGCAGTCTATCATACTTGAAAGGAAGGAGGCAGAACTGCTATTTCTGTAGACTGAAATGAAAGAAGTGAGTAAACACAGGAGGTTTCCCTCAAATCCTAAAGAATGAAGTTCTTACTACAATAAATATGTTATTTGGGTAATTTAAAATCCTCCCCACCCCCACATACAGTTTACCTAAATGCACTAGTATGTTTCTGTGGAAATCTCCAGTTTTACAAAGTAGTAGGGAAATATAATTTTGAGAATTTGTTTTAAAAGCTTATACTATATTCATATAGACTTGAATTTCTGTAAACTTGGCACTGTTACTTGGCGTTTGCCTTGGAATTTGCCTTGCCATAATATTAGAATGGGTTACAGCATAGCATTTATATTGGTTTATTTTAATGGGCTTTAAGTAAGTATACATATGGTCAGAATTTTTTTCCCCATCTATAATATACTACTAGCTGTATTAAAAGACCCCGCAGTTATTGTTTGCTGTAGGAATCGTTCATGTTCGACATGAACATATTTAATAACCTTTTTCCTGGTTTAAAAAATAGTACATGGTTATACTATTTTTATACATAGAAAGATAGTTCTTTGCTTGTATTGGATACACTATAGTACTTTCTTAGTAATTTTAGTTAGCGCCTTTTTATTTTTGGCTGTGTCCTTCAGCTACCACCAGAGGCATCTTGTTAATAAAAAATAGTTCAAAAAAACAAACGGACAGGGGCTTCCCTGGTGGCGCAGTGGTTGAGAGTCCACCTGCCGATGCAGGGGACACGCGTTCGTGCCGCGGAGCGGCTGGGCCCGTGAGCCATGGCCGCTGAGCCTGTGCGTCCAGAGCCTGTGCTCCTCAACGGGAGAGGCCACAACAGTGAGAGGCCCGCGTACCGCAAAAAAAAAAAAAAACGGACACTATTTAAGCAGTTTGTACTGTGAGAACTTTCTGCCTAGCTCCTCGTTTATAGTAGGTAAGGTAGACTGGAAGCCTCCTTAAGATATATTTCTGTTAAAATTCGTGGTATGATTTGGTTGAGTCATTAATCTGCCCATTTCAAGTAGGCACTATATTTTTAATGGTTGGTGGGTCTAGATGCAGGTTACTGAAGAATTTGCAGAACTTCTTGACTGGACAGCTTTAAGAGCAGGTTAAGTAGTCTCCAGTGAAACAGGACAGATAACACCCCTTCTCAATATTTATTTTTCTCTTCGCAATTTCAGTTCTGTTTCCAAATTCTGAATAGTTGTATGAATTTCTTTGGAAAAAGTTGAAATTACCATTTCATAATGAAGACAAGTCAAAGGTAGAAAAGGATAATCCAGCATTTGTCCATAAAGGGCTTATGGTTGCCTGATTTCCAATGCACAGTTTGGTGAAAGTGGCATTTATTTGGTTATCAGCCTTTGAGGAATGTTATTTTAAAATGGTGAATATGACTATGTGTGTTTGAAGACTAAACTACCCGTTCTTTACAATGACAGGGCGTTTGTTTAGTATTATAGTAAAAATAACCGAAGATTCAAAGTTTTTTATGCTTTACAGTTTATTCTTTAAGTTTACTGACAGTTACTGATTTACTTTTTAGATAGATAAGTCTCCAAATTGCTTTTGGAAGTTAAAATTATTGACATCTTTATAAGTTAAAGGGAAGTTACTCTTTCTTAACCTTGAATGATTCCGGGGGGAAAAAATATGTAGTTTGAGGTTTCCCTGATATAAAAATTGAAGAGTAGGCAACAAAGGAGGTTATGTATATGTGACACCTTGGATAATAAAAAGCAAGCCTTCTTTTAAATTTGATGATGTCTTTTGAAAAGATATTCTGTCATATCTTAATGCTTTTGTTAACAAACTAAAAGGAAAATTGCATATTTTCCAATGGGTTGCTATACCAGAAATGGGATTTAAAATTTAAATTTTAAGTTGTTACGGAGTTACCTCGTTAACATTAATACCTAAAAAGTGGTTATTTTCAGCACTACTGAATAATTTTCAACTATTGTTTTTATGGGAAGGCTTAAACCTAATATATAAAATTTTGATTTCTATCATAAAAAAGGCTTTAGAGTGTCACAGAACTCAAAGCTTTCTATATGTATAACAAAGGCTGTGGTGATGTTTATAGATTTATACCAGGGGATCTGTTTTATATGAGGGAAAGCCAAAAGGGAGAGGGGAATATATTTTTACCTAATGAATTAAAGGTAATGAACTGGCCTGTGAGGCTTCAATTACAAGTGAATTAGCCATACTTTTGTTTTTGTTTTTAGTCCTGAATATGCTGCTTTTACAGTTTCAGTGAATGAAAAAGCCTAAGTTGCTGTGCCTGCTCCAGGCATCTGTCCAGAAATTTAGAAAGTATCTGAGATGTGGTGAAAGACTTATTGTAGTTAAATAAATGGGAAAAGTTGATATTAAACAGAAAGGTAGCTATATATTTTGATTTTGTTTTCATCTGAAAAAAATAAATAGGCCTAGCAGCATTAGTACTCTCCTTGATGAATAAGTCTTTTGATATTAAACCTGAAGGAAAACTTTAAGGAAGTTGCGTGATAGTCTTAATAAATAGCCTAAATGAAAATTGGTGCGAAATTGGGATTATTTTCACTAATAATCAAGGCTTAAGTGGACAGAGAAACCACACTGTCCATCCTACTTTAGTCGTAAGTGCTTCATATGTCTATCAAATTAAGAAAAAACAAACAGGCTTTTAATCAGTGTTTTATATCCAACTTCTTCAGAAGCCAGTCAATTTTCTGATAAAGGATATAGTTACTGAAGGGAGTATAAGTATGCATAGCTGCATAAAATATGCAAGAACTATGAACAAAAGAGGTAGGATAAACAATAAAGACCATGATACTAATTTTGTAATGTACATTATGTACTTTATTGGATAAAATAGAATTTTTAAAATGGCTCAGTTGCAAAAATACATCTACTGCTAGGAATTTACAAGCCAAAGGGGAAATTCTTAAAATTTCATACTTTCTTTTCCCCCTGGTTTTTTTCAGTATGCTTGTTTTATTTCAGGTTGTATCTTTTGGGTTAAGTCAGAATGAGCAAAGATAAGTGGTCAAACAAAATCAGGAGATGGTAGTGATTTTACTATTTTTTTTTTACTTCTTTGAACCTCAACATGTGTCCTATTATGTGTGAGTTTAGATAGGTGTGTACAAATATTTCAGCCTATGATGCTTTGCTTTAACTATATTTTGATACCTTAGCATGGCTTAGTGAAGGCTTATTTTAAGATCACTTGGAATCTTCAGGTTATAAATTAGTGAAAACTTAAGGCATAGGTCGGGGGGGTTACAGTTTGTTAGAGTTATGCTTGAATTAAGTATTTATGTTAAAACTGTTCACGTTTTAGGAACTAGGATGAAACATGAAAGGGGAGGAGGGTGAAGAGTATGGTAAAAACATTTAGAGAAATTCAGTAAATTCTCTTTAATTGTTAGAAACTAGACTTTTGAACAACTTTAAAGATTATAAAATTGTTTTTTAAATAAACTAGTTATTTGCACTTTACCTGCTGGCTTTTCCATTTGGTAGATAACATTCTGAACTCCAGCAGAGTTTTATAATCCCCACGTGCTTAAATATACTAAATGTTCTTTTTCCATTAAGGTTAATGTTCGTGAAGAAATTGAAGAGTTTTTTCCAAGAATGTGGAAGATAAATCAAGATAAAAGAAGGCTAATGAAAAGTATTAAAGATCAGAAAATTAAAATTGAATGGGGGAAAAAATTGAACAGAAGATTGGTCAGATAGAAGCACTTGAATATTTTTTTTTAAGGCTATTTTGAATTGTTTGAATTGGGGAAGAATACACGAAGTATGAAAAATGAAAAACTCAATGAAGAATGAAGAGAAGTAGAAAGCAAGAGTGAAGTAGAATTAAAAGAATCTGGAAGAATGAATGGGTCCTAGGTTAAGTAAATGTATGGTTTATGTTCCAGTGTCTGTATGATCAAGTTGTAGATGAATTTGCATGATTACTTAGTTAATAGAGAATTGGTGATCTGGTTCAAGTAGGGAATTATTGAGGACAGTTAGCAGTATTAACAATGGGTTATTAATGAGCTGAAATTTTTTCTGGAGGGTGTTGCCTAACCATTTGTTTTTCAGGAGCAATCAATATAAATAATTACGGTACTTTAAATGTTAGGTGTTAGGCATCTACGTGACCAGTGCCATTTGTAATACTGTCTTCTTTGTTAGGAGTCTCGCTCTCAGTCAAAATCTCCAACGGGAACTCCTGCTCGTGTAAAATCGGAGAGCAGGTCAGGATCTCGTAGTCCATCAAGAGTTTCCAAACACTCTGAATCCCATTCTCGATCAAGATCAAAATCCAGGTAAGTGTGTTTAAAATAATATGTAAGTATGTTTAAAATGCTTTTCTTGGATTTTTCAGGGCAGAGTGGTTTTTACCAAATCCCTCATTTTTGTTGCATTTTTTGTGGAAATTTCACTGAAGACTCAAAATCATGAAGTTGTCTTTTTTTTTAATCTGTGGTTTAGAAATGAATGATACGTTAATAGATACAAAGACTTAGATGAGGTAGAATCTTCCCTTAGTCCATTAATCTATCTGATGCTAGCTATTAATACAAATTAAATGTGTTGTTTGATTTAAATGTGCTTGGCATTTGAAGGTTAATGTTTGATATTATTTCAATAATATTTGCACAACAAAAAGGTAATTTTCTCCATTGGAGACTTGGCATGCAGTTTAGTGCAGAGATGGTTGATGTATGTATGTTGTACTGGTTATCAGAATGATTTGAGAAGATTTTTCAAGTTTCACCTTCCAGCTACATCCTTTACCTGAAGATTCTAACTAATTAGATCCAGCGTGGAACTCTGGTCAGATACAATTGGCAGGAAGTGGTCCTGGAGTGATTCAGAGCCCCAGCCACTACCACTTACACTGATTAAAACAAAGACTCTAGTGAGCCACACTGCAAGGCTCACTGTATCAGATGTCCTGGTGTGTGGAAAAAACAGTGAAAAACAACCTGGGACTTCCCTGGTGGCGCAGTGGTTAAGAACCTGCCTGCCAATGCAGGGGACACGGGTTCGAGCCCTGGTCCGGGAATATCCCACATGCGGAGCAACTAAGCCTGTGCGCCACAACTACTGAGCCTGCGCTCTAGAGCTCACAGCCACAACTACTGAAGCCCGTGCCACTAGAGCCCGTGCTCCGCAACAAGAGAAGCCACCGCAATGAGAAGCCTGCGCACTTCAATGAAGAGTGGCCCCCGCTCGCCACAACTAGAGAAAGCCTGCGTACAGCAACGAAGACCCAACACAGCCAAATAAATAAACAAACAAATAAATAAAATTTAAAGTAAATAAATAAAAACAACCTGGACAGTCGATTTGATAAGTCATTGTAATTTCTTCTTTAAAGAGGTAATTTATGTCTTTGAATAGACTGTGATTGCAAGGGGGCATGAGACAAAAGAATCAAAGGCGTACTTTCCGTGCAATCCACAGCTATGTCTTTTTCTCTGTTGTATCCAGGATCCAGCCTAGTGCTTGATTTGCTAACCGCTCTACATATTTAATTGAATCCACATGTGCAGAATAGTGCTAGATAGAATTCAGGTGTAGAAACAGAAGTGAGCACATTTTCATTTTAGGACTTTTGCACTTGCTGCCCTTAGCCTAGAATTCTCTTCCGTCAAGATATTCTCATATCACTTGATGCAGTTCTCTGCTCTTGTATCACTGGAGAACATTAAATACCGTGCACACACTTTATTCCCTTATTCCTAATGTTTTTTGTAATATTTATCACTATCTGACTTAGAGAAAAGGTGAGCAGTCCTGAAAGATTTTAAATTAACGTCACTTTTTGTTACTATAGTCCTCCCTCAGTATCTGTTGGGGGAGGATTGGTTCTTCTGCGGATACCAAATCCTCAGATGGTCAAGTCCCTTATATAAAATGGCATGGTACAGTCAGCCCTCCACACGAAGGACCAACTGCATTTAAATGTAACTATTGATATTTTATGTGACAACTTACTAATGTTTTTTATATTTTAAATTGAAGCTATAAATTGGTGCTAAGGAAAATAGGAAATGTCCTGTTTGGTATTCGTATAAAACACAAGTTATTTTCTTGTTTCTCCCCCACCCCAGCCAGTGATTAATTTCTTGTAGATAGTAGGCCATTCATATTATTTTCATTCCCTCTCAAGATTGTTTGCCTCCTTTCAATAAAGCTGTACTCTAAGCTTCATACACAAGATTTGTCCCAGTCCTTTCGTCATCTTCATTTTCATTCCATCCTTTATAAGTATCCTAATTCCTAGCAGATTATACTCTTTTGCAATTCTCTAATCACATTTCCATGTCTTCTTGCTAAGGAACCTTTGTTCTTGGTATTCCTAGAACACTTTTCCCGTCTGCCTAGTAGAATCTTATTAAGTCTCCTAGCTTTATTGTTTAAACTTTCTGGCCCTTAGCATTTATATCATTTATTGAATACCTCATAGAAGTTATTTTGTATGACTTTCATGACTACTGGTCTGGGTGTTTAAGGATAGATCATACGAATAGTAATAAGAAGTGGCATTTTCTTTGCATTAATAGGCAAAGAAAAAGGACTGTGAGCAATTGGAAATAATCAAATAGGAGATGAACTAGGGAATCAGCAGTAGAGAGATTGGTGAGTTGCTATAGAAAGCTTGAAGAAATGAAGACCATTAGACATGAAGACTTAGTTTAGTGGGGATTTAGGTTGTGACGAGTTAATTTAGCAGATGCTAGATTGCAGTAGGCTAAGGAAAGACTGGGAAGGAAATGATACTTAACAATGGAGGGAATATAGGGCTATTTTGAAAATGATAAGAATCAAGCGATTTTATTGTGATGGTAATGGTAGTTGATGGTTTGTTTTGTCTTTTGTGTGTGGTGAAATACACAAAATTTATAGTCTTAACCATTTTTCCATGTATGGTCACTGGTATTAAATGCATTCATATTGTTGTGCAACCATCACAACCATCCGTCTCCGTAATTCTTTTTGTCTTGTAAAACTGAAACTCTACCCAGTAATAATGGTCCCAGCTGCTGACAACCACCATCTTATTTCTGTCTCTTATGATTTTGACTACTCTTAAGTACCTCATCTAAGTGGAATCACACAGTATTTGTCTTCTTAGAACTGGCTTATTTCACTTCGCATAATGTCCTCAAGGTTTATCCATGTTGTAGAATATTAAAGAATTTCCTTGCTAGTGCCAGTTGATTTTTTTCTTTCTAAAGAAGGTGGAGCCTTAACATGTTTGTAAGGTAAGGTGGGAAGAGTGAATTTAGAAGGGATAGACTGGGAACAAGGAGGAGATGTAGTGAGGAAGAATACTTTTTCCTCTGAAAGGGGAAACGAGCTGAGAATAAGCAGGGATATATGTATGTATAGGTCCTTGGCATTGTCAAAAGTTCAGAAAGCGAAACATGTATGGTCACTGGTATTAAATGCATTCATATTGTTGTGCAACCATCACAACCATCCGTCTCCATCCGTAAAACCAATGAATCATGAACATAATTAGTAAAAATTTACTGTAAACATACCAAAAAGACACTTTGCAACTGGGAGCACTCCAGCCAAACATGGAATGAGGCTCAGTGGTATGTTGTTACAAAGCAGCTTATATGGTCAGCAGGCAGTGTCTTCACAGTATTTGGTGATTAAGGTAAATTAATGACTGACCTGGTTTTGTCTGCTCAGGGAACCTTCATTTGGTGTCCGTTTGCTTTTGATTTTAACAGCGTTAGCCATTTTGTTCCAGTATCTTTACCTAAATTTATTTCTCTCAAAGGTCGAGGTCAAGGAGGCATTCTCATAGACGTTACACTCGATCCAGATCCCATTCTCACTCTCATAGGAGACGATCTCGAAGTAGGTCCTATACACCAGAATACCGGCGTCGCAGGAGCCGAAGTCATTCTCCAATGTCTAACCGGAGAAGACATACAGGCAGCAGGGTATGTGTTTTTTAAAAGTTAATGAGGGACTTCGCTGGTGGTCCAGTGGTTAAGAATCCACCTTCCAATGCAGGGGATGCAGGTTCGATCCGTGGTCGGGGAGCTAAGATCCCACATGCTGCAGGGCAACTCAGATCCCACATGCTGCAGGGCAACTCAGATCCCACATGCTGCAGGGCAACTCAGATCCCACATGCTGCAGGGCAACTAAGCCTGTGCTGTAGAGCCTGCACACCACAACAAAGATTCCGAATGCTGCAACTAAGACCTGACGCAGCCAAATAAATTAAAAAAAAAAAAGTTAATGAAAGCTTATTTTGTCTTTCCTGTGTATTTAGTCATAGTATAACATCTTTTGTGGGAGCTAGAGCACTGTTTAAAAGTGGTACTTCAGGGCTTCCCTGGTGGCGCAGTGGTTGAGAGTCCGCCTGCCGATGCAGGGGACACGGGTTCGTGCCCCGGTCTGGGAAGATCCCACATTCTGCAGAGCGGCTAGGCCCGTGAGCCATGGCTGCTGAGCCTGCACGTCTGGAGCCTGTGCTCTGCAACGGGAGAGACTACAACAGTGCGTACCACCAAAAAAATAAATAAATAAATAAATAATAAATAAAAGTGGTACTTCAGAAACATCCTTGGCTATATGAATATTGTTTATATGTATTCAAGTGTGTTTTCTTTTTTTTTTGTTTTTTTTTGTTGTTGTTGTTGTTTTTTGTTTTCTTTTTTTGACTTTTGAGTTGTTAAAAGAAATGAAATTTGGGGACTTCCCTGGTGGTGCAGTGGTTAAGAATCCGCCTGCCAATGAAGGGGACACGGGTTTGAGCCCTGGTCCAGGAAGATCCCACGTGCTGCGGAGCAGCTAAGCCCTCGTGCCACAGCTACTGAAGCCCGCGCGCCTAGAGCCCGTGTGCTTAGAGCCTGTGCTCCACAACAAGAGAAGCCACCGCAGTGAGAAGCCCGTGCACCGCAATGAAGAGCAGCCCCTGCTCACTGCAACTAGGGAAAGCCCATGCGCAGCAACAAAGACCCAACACAGCCAAAAATAAATTAATAAAATAAATTTATTTTTAAAAAGAAAGAAATTGGGGAAGAAGAAATATGTTCCAAGAATTGAGTTGAAAAGCTGAGTTGAAAATACTGAGATTAAAAGTTTTACCATGGGAAGGGGTAGCAAGGAAATAGCAAAAGCTCTGTAGTAATAGTAATAGCTAACACTTATATTGAGCAGTGTGCAAAGTTTCAATGAAGTAATACTTTTAATCTCTCTTTGAGTCGTTACCTCATTATTGATAAGGAAATTGAGTCTTGGATATGTGACATTGAGGTTTGTTTGTATTTAACCATGGTGGAGTCTGCTATTTAATGATGTTTTGAAATTTGCATGTTAATTTTTCAAATCTGGATTGTGGGAACCTTGAAAGATTATCCTTGCTAAAGAATGAAAATTGAGGGCTTCCCTGGTGGCGCAGTGGTTGAGAGTCCGCCTGCCGATGCAGGGGACGCGGGTTCGTGCCCCGGTCCAGGAAGATCCCACATGCCGCGGAGCGACTGGGCCCGTGAGCCATGGCCGCTGAGCCTGTGTGTCCGGAGCCTGTGCTCCGCAACGGGAGAGGCCACAACAGTGAGAGGCCCGCGTACCGCAAAAAAAAAAGAATGAAAATTGAGGAGGAGAATCTAATCAGCAATTGCAGATGAAGTCAACGTTGAGTACAAATCTATAAGGGATATAAAACATTTGAATAAACTAAAAATATGGCGTTAAACTAAGGATGAATTCTTAGGATACGTTCTGAAAATTGCTGGGCTAGAAAGTTAGGGACATTTTTATTCAGGATGCAGCCTGGAGTATATTCTAAAGAAGGCTTGAGTGTACTATGAACTGTAAAATATAGCTCGCCTGTTTTTTTTCTTTTAAATTCTTGTTTCCAAGTGACTTGAAACAATATAGTCTTTGTGTATTGGGTAAAGTGTTCTAAGCAAAGTATTTCTGTGTGTTTTTATTTTAATTTGGAGCTTAAAGTTAAATAACATCTTTATTCAACAGGCAAATCCAGATCCCAACACGTGTCTAGGAGTGTTTGGCCTCAGTTTGTACACAACAGAGAGAGATCTTCGCGAAGTATTTTCTCGATATGGACCATTGAGTGGTGTCAATGTGGTTTATGACCAGCGAACTGGACGATCACGAGGATTTGCTTTTGTTTATTTCGAGAGAATAGATGACTCAAAGGAGGTAATTTTGGTTTGTAATTATCTGTCATTTTGAAAATTTTCTGATGTGCATTATTTAGTATTGAGTTACTGTTAAAAGCTGATAAACTCCCAGTTCCATAAACATTATGTCCTCTTTCATTGTCTGACATGATTTAAACTCTACCTCTCAGTATTAAAATTGGAATGGCCAGTTTCACTTTCCAGCTAATACTCTCTGGTATAGGCATATCTTTATTGAAATCCAGCTTTGTAAAGTGAGGTTGTGTTTGAGTTAATGGAAAAGGTGAAGTATATATAAGTGTTCTCTTTTGAATAACCATTATTCATGCTCCAAGCAAATGATTACATTGACCTTTTAAAAGAATTGTGTTTAGGGCTTCCCTGGTTGCGCAGTGGTTAAGAATCCGCCTGCCAATGCAGAGGACACGGGTTCGAGCCCTGGTCCGGGAGCATCCCCCATGCTGCAGAGCAACTAAGTCCATGCACCACAACTACTGAGCCTGCACTCTAGAGCCCGTGAACCACAACTGCTGGGCCCGCATGTGACAACTACTGAAGCCCGCGTGCCTACAGCTCGTGGTCCGCAACAAGAGAAGCCATCGCAGTGAGAAGGTTGCACACTACAACAAAGACCCAATGCAACCAAAAAAAAAAAAAAGAAAAAGAAAAAAAAGAAGAATTGTGTTTAGGTTTAATCTGTTTAATTTTTGTAAGTGTCTATAATTAGCTCCCTGTCTCTACAGAGCTTTGTTTATCTATTCTCTTAAGTTCATCTACCATTCTGTTCTATAAATGAAAAATAATGCATGGAAAGAATTGGTACTTTTTCGTTTTTGTTTAGTGCCATTCTTAATTTGCCTGACAGAATGATCCTAATCAATGTCAGGGATTTGAAATAGTGCTATTCTAATGTTCTAGATAATGGATTATAGAGGAAGCAGTAGGCTTACCTTCTCCATATTAAAAGTTCATGGTGACTGAATTAGAAAATTCCATTTTAAGGAATTTTTGAAGGTCATTTGTTAAAGAAATGGAAGGTACTGGCATTTCTTTTTTGTACCATTTTACACTTGACAGTAGTTGGCTATAGGTCATTATTGATCTTTGCATCAACAATGTTTGATTGCGGTATAAGCAGTCATAATAAAAGAGTATTTTTCAGAAATAATAAATGCTATTTTTATTTGGTGGTAGAGGCCAGGGATGATACTAAACATCAGTGCACAGGATAACCACCCGCAACACGGAATTAGCAGGCCCCAGCTGTATCAATAGTGTATCAGTAGTGGTGTGGTTGAAAAACCCTGGATAATTCTAACAAAATAATGCTCTGAGTTGAAGGCATTTATGTTATAGACATAATGATAGACACAGTAGTGGTTTTTTTACTGTTACATGTTTGTGATTGGTTTATTGCTGTTCGCAATTAAGGGATAAAGGTGTAAATTTAGAAATACCAGGATATCTCACCTGAAGTGAAAGTTTGTGTAGTGCAAACAATATCATAATTAAACATTTTTTTAATATGAAACTTGTTTGTCCAGTCTTTTCACACACCTCCTCCTCTTAGGTTTATTTCTGGATAAGATAAAATGAAAATGGCAACTTTACTTAGTTCCTGAGAACTTCTTAAAATGTGTTAAAGTGCTTGGATTCATTTTTGCATTTATTGGTATTAGTACCAAAGGGCAAAGTGTTACGGAATGTCAGCACAGACATAAAGACAGCACTTGCTGGCCGATTAAGAAGTTCCTTTATATTTGGAGTTCACTAGGTGGCAGTGTGTTACTTAAGGAATGGCTCTACACGTTTTCAAGGAATGGCTTGACAAGTTTAGACTTGTCCACTGAGTTGCAGTTTCTGCTTTGAGTTGCTCAGACTGGAGCTAGTTACTGAAGCCTCAGAATTCTGCAGGCTTCCCTGGGTTGTGTGGTTCCCTCTTTATGGCTGTAGCTGCCCCTAGTCTTTCAGCAGAGGCCTACTTAAGTGTCCATGTGTACATTGAAAACTCAGTACTATTGACATGCATATAGCAGGGATTAATACATCAAATCCTAGCCCTTCTTACGTGAGAAAGAAGTGTTTAGAGAATTTTAATTTTTGAAATTTCAAATGAAAAATGTGTTAAATTTTTTGCAGTTTTGATAGTTTCTCCTTGGTGAATTATGCATGACTTTCTGTGCATGTTCTCCTTTATAGGCTATGGAAAGGGCAAACGGAATGGAGCTGGATGGTAGAAGAATTCGTGTAGATTATTCTATCACCAAGAGAGCGCACACACCTACACCAGGCATATACATGGGCAGACCAACTCAGTAAGATTTCAAGTTTCCTAAGCTGAATTTTAGGAGCCAGAAATCCACCAGAAATGTGTGCAAAATTTTGATTAATCAAAAGATAAACTTCTTTTCTCTGTAATTTGAATTGAAAGTTATTTAATATGACTATATGTATTCTTTGAATCGTTTTATTTCTTTGATTTTTTATATGTATATTTGAGCATGGGGAGAAATTAAAACTATTGAAGTGCCTTCCTGGCTGTTTTCTTGTACTGCAGAAATAGAAAAAATATTAAATACTAGAAAATTATATGTTTTTAAATATTCTCTAAATATATATGTGATCTTGGAAGCTTCTGTGTATATGGAATGGATTTACTGATATTAATGTTTGTTTTTTAAAAAGCCAGTTTTGCATTGTGTACAACATAAATAGGGACTTTTATAAAACTTTTTTAATATAATATAACCAAAGGCAGTATTTCTTTAGAGTGAAAGAATAAATATAGGCTTTCATTTAATGTGAAGCATCTTGGGAAAATACAGGATTTGACAGGGAAAGCCTACTGAAAATAGCAGTAATAGTGAAAATAATGTCCCTATGATTAGGAGTTGGGAAAACAGCAGGAAAAAGAGGGCTTAGAGTTTAAATTCACTGCCAGAGGTTTGAACACCAGACCTTGAAATTTTTTAGTGCTGGGCGTCAGTTCTCTTTGGTGTTCAGGGTTGGTTACTTTTAAATTATTTTTTTTTTTTTTTTTTTTTTTTTTTTACTTTTAAATTCTTGATATTTATTAACTGCTTTTGAACTAGTCATAGGACATACATCTTAGCATTTTGGTACTTTTTCACCTTATGGAAAAAGCACAATGCTTTTTTCACCTTATGGAAAAGGTGTTGCTGATTTGGATAGTGCATTAATAGAAGAGCATTTTATAGTTTGGAGAGTTTCGTGAAATTATTCCTGGTTATTTATGTTATACATATGAAGCAAAAGCAGAATACCATGGGAGTCAGCAAAGTGAGACGTGGAAGTAATTGGCATGAAAGGGTTATCTCTTCTCTCTCGTCTATCTCCCTTCCTTCTTCCATTTTATTTAAGCATCCATTTATATTAAATGATGACAGAAGGTAATCATTCACACTGATGTAGAGTTTTCACATTTTTCTGTAGCAGTGGTGGTGGAGGTGGTGGTGGTGGAGGTGGAGGTGGAGGAGGTGGCAGACGTCGAGATTCTTACTATGATAGAGGATATGATCGTGGGTACGACAGGTACGAAGACTATGATTACCGGTACAGGTAATGTTTTAACTTACGATTTCTGTTCTAAGTTAGATGATAGTAGTAGTGTTTGGCACTTTTAATTTATGTTTAATGTGTTATTAATAAAAATATTTAAAATAATGGGGCTTCCCTGGCAGTCCAGAGGTTGAGGCTCCGTGCTTTCAGCACAGGGGACACAGGTTTGATCCGTGGTCGGGGAACTAAGATAAGATCCCACATGCTGCACAGCGTGGCCAAAAAAAAAAAACATTAAATAGATTTTATATGATGCTTGCTTTTTTCTCAAGATCAAGAAAAGAGGTTAATTATCTGTATTGGCCAATACTGTGTTAGTATTGTTGGCACATGGAAAACTTAATAGCTTTCCTCTTAGGTCCATTATTATTTTGAATGATGGAATTTTTGGTTTTATCGGCCTCGGTGTAGTGATTTTGTGATATGCTGATTAATCTTTTATTTCCTACAGAAGAAGATCGCCTTCTCCTTACTATAGTCGATACAGATCACGATCAAGATCTCGTTCCTACAGCCCAAGTACGTACACTTTTACTTTTGTTGCATCACGAACCTCATTTCTAATTAATGGTTTATATTTTAGAAAATTAAGGTATATAGTGACTGTTAATAGTTGGGAAAATATTAGGCAATCAAACTATAATTCTCATTTGATTAAAAAAAATTTCTTTTTTACTCTTTTCCAGGACGCTATTGATAAACAGAGTGGATGCAGTTGAGGACATCTTTTTCTTTCTTTTTTTTCCCTTTCTATTTTTTTGTTTAATTCTGGATTTCCCCAAGCTTCTAATCCTTCCTACTCCTTAAAAAGAACCCTTAAAAACATCTTTGGTTTATTTAGCATCTACACTTTGTCGATTGTATTGCTGTTTTCACCCCTTTTATTATATTCTTAAAGATGTAATTGTTGTCATTTTGAGTAGTTAAACATCTTGAGTAAAAAAGGAACCCCCAGTGTTATGCTTTTGTAAATGTTTTTTTGTTTGTTTGTTGCTTTTACAGAAAATTAACTCCTGCCTAATCGAATGAGGAAAGAAATGATCTTTTTAAAGCTTCTTTTGTGTTAATATTGTATTAGACATGGTATTAGAGAGCTGCATTTACTACAAACTCCTTTTTTAACTTTCTTTTGGGAAAGTTAGTAACAAGTAGTTCAGTCATGTCAGGTTTGTCTGGGGTGGCATGAAGCAATCAAATAATTGAGTGTAGAAAGTTTGAAGCTATAGAAGGAAGCACTTGGTCATTTCTTTTGAAGAACGGAATTTTTGAGACCTAAAAATTATGTCGTTTTTTAAGAGATGAAAAGCTTGTGGACTCCTACAAAACATGTTGTATTTAAAATACATTTGTTAAAACTTAAAAACGTAAAGTTTGATTTTTGTGTTGGAATTTTTGAAGTTTAATCAGTGGACAAGCCTTTTTATTTATTATTTAGAGCAGTTGTATGCTTTGCTGTTAGAAATTTTGGTATTGGGGAAGTGGTTTGAGTAGGCTATTGTATAGAGTCCTTAGAAATAGTGAGGGGAAGGGTAGTCTCCTTTCAAATAAAAGTTAATTTCTTTGAAAATGGGACTGTCTCTTTATTGTGGTACAATGGGAAAATATAACTGGATTAATTTGGATTTCCTTTTTCCTAACATTTTTGCTTACGCCTGAATGTATAATCTGTGTCTCTTCTTCAGTCTTGAAAAACCATTTTCTTTCCTCCCTTTTTTGGTCAACGAACTTGGAAATATTGAGAGTATTCTGAATCAAACACTGTGCTGAAGGAAAGATAAATAATATGGTTCGTTTCTTCAAGAAGCCCACATTCTAATAGGAAACAACACACTTAAATGACTAATGTAATGAAAGGGGAGGCTGTTAGGCTGAAGAGGTGGATGATTTTTCAGGTGACCTTTATAAAAAGGTAAAGGAGCGTGAGCCTCCTTTGTTTTCTCCCTCAAAGCAATGAGAATAAAATTAGATAATTATGATCTATATAATAGATCAGTGGGTTCTATGGAACTGAAGTACCTCAGACATCTTTATTAAAAAGCTAACTCTTCAGGGCTTCCCTGGTGGCGCAGTAGTTGAGAATCTGCCTGCTAATGCAGGGGACACGGGTTCGAGCCCTGGTCTGGGAGGATCCCACATGCCGCGGAGGAGCAACTAGGCCTGTGAGCCACAACTACTGAGCCTGCGTGTCTGGAGCCTGTGCTCTGCAACAAGAGAGGCCACGATAGTGAGAGGACCGCGCACCGAGATGAAGAGTGGCCCCTGCTTGCCACAACTAGAGAAAGATCTGGCACAGAAACGAAGACCCAACACAGCAAAAATTAATTAATTAATTAATAAAACTCCTACCCCCAACATCATCTTTATTAAAAAAAAAAAAAAACTATTCAAAATGTGTTTAAAGTTTTTTTTTGCCAATAAGTGCTATCCAGAGAATGAAGCTGTCTCTTGTTGCTCCCTAGAGGGTTTTTGTTCTTAAAACCAGGTTATTTAAAGACTGGAAATCATTGCCCTAAAGAGAACATTAATTTGTTGACCATAGGAGTACTTTAAAGATTTAAGGTGTATATCATCAACAAAAGTAAAAACGTTGACTATAATCTGGAGAATTAATAGCCATATAAAGAGAGAGTGAACATAATTAAAGACAATATGTAGGGAATTCCAGTGGTTAGGACTCCACACTTTCAATGCCGAGGGCGCGGTTTCAATCCCTTTTCAGGGAAGTAAGATTCCGCAAGCCCTGTGGCACAGCCAAAAAACATAAAATGTGGACGTTACATATGCATTAATGGAAAGAAAGCAGGGAAGGAGAAAAGGGGAGTAAGGGGGATAGGAGTTTTAAATAGGCCAGTCTTTGAAGGCTTCCCTAAGAAGGTGGAATTTCAGTAAAATTTTAAGGTGAGCAGGGAGGGAGCCTTGTAGATACGTGGGGGAAGCATGTATTAGGTATAGGGTACAGCATGTGTAACTGCCTTAAGGCAGTTACATACCTGGAAGTTGGAGAAGAAAAGAGGTCAGAGGACAAAGATAATAACCGAGGGCTCGGCACTGCTGGGAAGAATGGGTAAGTAAAAATCCAAGACAATTTTTTCTTTTTGTATTGAAGTATAGTTGATTTACATATATCGTCTTAAGTTTCAGGTGTACAGCACAGTGACTTTTATATATGTGTGTGTGTGTATAAAACATTCTTTTTCAGATTCTTTTCACTTACAGGTTATTATAAAATATTGAGTATAGTTCCCTGTGATATATAGGTTATCTATTTTATATATAGTAGTGTGTATATGTTCACCCCAACCTGCTAATTTATCCCTCCCCCCACTGCCCTTTCCCCTTTGGCAACCATAAGTTTGTTTTCAGTCTGTGAGTCTCTGTTTTGTAAATAAGTTCATTTGTATCATTTTTTTAGATTCCACATATGAGTGATATTATATGATACTTGTGTGTCTTCGATTTCGTATGGTAATCTCTAGGTCCATCCATGTTGCTGCAAATGGCATTATTCTTTTTTATGGCTGAGTAATATTCCATTTGTGTGTGTGTATGTGTGTGTATACATATATATGTGTGTGTGTATATATATATACACATACACCACATCTTTATCCATTCATGTGTCGATGGACATTTAGGTTGTTTCCATGTCTTGGCTACTGTAAATAGTGCTGCAATGAACTTTGGGGTGCATGTATGTTTTCAAATTATGGTTTTCTCTGGATATATGCCCAGGAGTAGTATTGCAGTATCATATATGGTAGCTTTATATTTAGTTTTTTAAGGAACTCTTCATCATAGTGGCTGTACCAGTTTACATTCCTACCAACAGTGTAGGAGAGTTCCTACAGTATTTTTCTTTTAATTTTGGCTGCATTGGGTCTTCATTACTGTGTTCAAGCTCTGTCTAGTTGCAGTGAACAGGGGCTGCTCTTTTTTTTTTTTAACCTCTTTATTGGAGTATAATTGCTTTACAATGGTGTGTTAGTTTCTGCTTTATAACAAAGTGAATCAGCTATACATATACTCTTCGTTGTGGTGCACAGGCTTCTCATTGCGGGGCACGGGCTCTAGGGGCATGGGATTCAGTAGTTGTGGCTTGTGAGCTGTAGAGCGCAGGCTCAGTAGTTGTGGCCCACAGGCTTAGTTGCTCCATGGCATGTGGGATCTTCCCAAATCAGGGATTGAACCTGTATCTCCTGCATTGGCAGGTGGATTCTTAACCACTGCACCACGAGGGAAGTCCCCTACAGTATTAAAGTAAAAATCTACGATAGTGTTTTTAACTCACTGAAAGGTAGAAATAACTTCGGGAGGGGGGTGGCAGTGGTGGTGGTTTTGTTGTTAACTCCTTACAACAGTGGTTCCTACTTAATCTTACTTGGGTCATGGAGCCCTTAAAGATCTGAAAAAATGGAGACTTAGCTGGTGGTGCAGTGGTTAAGACTCCGCACTCCCAATGCAGGGGCCCGGGTTCAATCCCTGGTCTGGGAACTAGATCTCACATGTGTGCTGTAACTAAAAAGTTTGCATGCCACAACTAAGGAGCTCACATGCCACAACTAAGACCTGACACAACTAAATAACTAACAAAAATACTAAGGAAAAAAAGAGGCAGGCATGTTCCTGACTCTTAAAAAAAATAAAAAGTCTGAAAAATACTTGCAAACTGTTCCTAGGTAAAGTGCACGTATAAAACAATATAAGTTCACAGACATTGTGCATACGTCTCTTTTAAGGTAAAAGCACGTAACATACAGACATTGCCCGTGGATTCAAGAATAATAATTGACTTTCCTCGGCTGCTTTCTTTTAGGATATTACTGCTTAGAACATTTGAATTTTTTTTTTTTTTTTTTTTGCAATACGTGGGCCTCTCACTGTCGTGGCCTCTCCCCTTGCCAGACGCGCAAGCTCAGCGGCCATGGCTCCGCGGCATGTGGGATCCTCCTGGACCAGGGCACGAACCCGTATCCCCTGCATCGGCAGGCGGACTCTCAACCACTGCGCCACCAGGGAGGCCCAGAACATTTGAATTTAATAGCACCTTGAGAACTGTGAAGCACACATGTATATTGCTTCATTATGGCAATTAAGAGACTATTATTTATAATGTAAGTTGAAGGTTTATTTGTTCTAAAATAGGTCTACCCCAATGTCATATTTAATGTTTTGAGTGTATGGATTTTCTTCTTCCCACTACACTGAATTTGAAATTAAGTGGATTCGATGATTAAAATCAGTGCATTATTTTATTATACAAAAGACACATTAAAAGGTAAGATGAGAGAGATACCACTGAGGAGTAATGAATATAGGAAATGAGAAAGGTTTAAGTAACTTCCAAGAAAGCAAATACACAAGTAAATGGAATAACAGGCTTTGCCAGTTTATACTCCCACCAAGAGTATGTGAAAGGGAGGTCTTCTCTTGAAACAAAAGATATTGAGATATTACTGAAGGAAAATAAGCTTCTATACTCTGGAATTATTTACACCACAAAATTATTTCAAAATGAAATTAAGGTAACAATTTTCAAAAACAATATGGTGGGACTTCCCTTGTGGCACAGTGGTTAAGAATCTGCCTGCCGGTGCAGGGGACACAGTTTGAGCCCTGGTCTGGGAGGATCCCACATGCTGCGGAGCAACTAAGCCCGTGTGGCCTAGAGCCCATGTGCTGCAACTATTGAGCCTGCATGCTGCAACTACTGAAGCCCGCATGCCTAGACCCCATGCTCTGCAACAAGAGATTCCACCACAATGAGAAGCCCACACACTGCAACGAAGAGTAACCCCCACTCGCCGCAACTAGAGAAAGCCCGTGCGCAGCAATGAAGACCCAATGCAGCCAAAAAACTAAATAAATAATAATGGCGAGGACAACATAATAGTGGTACAAAATATGCATACTATGGAATCCTGTATACTTAAAGTGATTTCACAAATTCTGCCCTACACGTGCTTGCAAGTGACCCTAAAAAGGCTACCCAGTCAGGAAACATCAGCACGATGTTCACAAGGTTAAAAAGAAAGTTGTGAGTCCTCACAGGACTCTGTGACGTGTAATCTAGGTATGTACGGTTCCCCATTTATCCTGGGGGTATGCATTCCAAGACCCCCAGTGGATGCCTGAAACCACGGGTAGTACCAAACCCTGTACTACACATTTTTTTTTCTTTATGTACATACCTATGATAAAGTTTAACTTATAAATTAGGCACAGTAAGAGATTAACAATAATAAAGTAGAACAGTTAAAAGAATATACTGGGACTTCCCTGGTGGTCCAGTGGTAAAGAATCCTTCCAATACAGGCAACGCGGGTTTGATCCCCGGTCAGGGAACTAAGATCCCACATGCCACAA